TCATTCAAGCCTTAACTCATTTTTGCTTCGGATGCCGTGGTGAGCAGACAGCAGAAGCAGCAAAAGCAGTCGTCTGGCTCGCCGTGCCGTTGTCAAACGTGTCTCCGGTCTGATCTACAAGAAAACACGAGGTGTGCTGAAGATGTTCTTGGAAAATGTGATCCGTGCTGCTGTCACCTATACTGAACACGCCAAGCGTAAGCGGCCATCGATGTCGTCTACGCTTTGAAGCGACAGACGAACTCTGTACAGTTTCGGAGGTAAAATCATCACCAACTTTGGCAACAAAACGGCCCTTTTCTGGGCCAACAAGCTTATTACAGTAGCAAGTTAGACTAGAATGTATCTGCCTGTTGGTCCATATTCAGAACCACATGCCCCCAACGACCACACAAAATGCTCTCCAGAGTTGTAAGCTTGTAACCAAACTTGGAAGCAGGGGTGCAAGTGATTTTTATCGACTCTTCATAAACTTTCTCTTTGAAAAAAATTACTACAAATTTGGTACGCCTACAATTCAAAAACGGAAAGAGTTAAGATAACTCATGGTCGATCAATTAAAAGAACTAAATTTTCTTCACGTTTGTTCCGTGCCCTAGCGATCCTACGTCAAGCTCCCGTTCGTGCCCCTAGGCACAGATGTTAAGATTTAAACCATTACCGATTTGTTAAGTTGTAAATCATTACCGATTGTTAAAGTTATTTTTCACTTTGATCGTCCAATAAAGCAGCATTATAAAAAATACGTTTTACAATTTGCATTAACCTGAAAAGAAAATCACACTCCAAAATGGTCACTTTGATTAAAACGTATATGCTTTCTTTGAATAAAACGTATATACGTTCTATTCGAGAGTATATATATACGTACTATTCAGGGGTATGAACTATGCGAGGTAACACTTAATTTTCATTTTTTTTTCGATTTGGTGCTCCCGCGGATACAACATATTCGTTATAAGTCAGGTAATAAGTTAACGGCGCCGATGGTGTAGTGGTAAGCGTGATTACCTCTCACCCAAGCAGGCCTGGGTTCAATCCCAGTCGACGCCGCCGGGATGTTCTGAGGCATAATATCTCTGATCACGCCTTCCTTCGGATGGGAAGTAAAGCCGTTGGTCCCCGGTTCATGAGTTGATGGGTCGATAGGTAGGGTCCAGGTGTGGGAACTGCCTTCCTGGCACGTCGGTAGCATTGGTGCTCAGCACGGAAAACAAGATCGACGGAAAAAAACAAACCAAAGTCAGGTAAGACAGCAGTTCGCATAACGCCTAAATGTATGTATCTCCTATGTGATCATCGCTGATCATCCAATGATTTTTGGGATATTTGAGAACTTTTAGCGATTGGATCTGCTTCCTAATCTGCTTTAAAACTTTTCAGAAATGAAATTTAATGATTATTTGAACTAGCTCTTTGATAATTTTGGTGACACCAATAATTGTTGACATGTTAAATAATGTTTCGAAAATGACCAATTCACCAATTGTATGGCGTCCTTATACTTATTTCGGAAGGAGGAATTCACATTTCCATTTATTTCTCCTACGTACATGATTCAATTGGTTCTTTCTGTAAGTTGCGGCTTACTTGCCAGCCTATAGCTGGCCCGATTTACCCCGGCGGGGCGGCTACGAGCAGAGTACTTCCCCCAAAGACGTTCGGATTTGGATGGATTGTTAAGAAAAGAGAAAGAAAAAATGCAATTTTAGACGTCTATTATAATCTGACCTTTCCCTATTTCTCCTTGTTTTCCTCGGTGTTACTCGGTGGGGCCCTTCGACGATAGCGGTGGCGGTTGCGGCTTGTTCACGTCGGCTCCAGACACGGTCTGTGCCGAGCGTCTCCTACTTCACTTTAGCTGCGTAGCAGCGGTCCTTGGCGTTTAGCGGGGGGGATGAGCAAGGCTCCTTTATCGGAACCCCCTCGGCGACGATGGTTACGAATCACCGGACCAACTACTCGCCGTAGATGGTCCCGGTAGTCACCGCAGCGCACTACCCAGGCGAACGCTCCTTCGGTTCTGCCTGCTTCGTTCCTCCTTGGCTCTTAACTGCGGTGGCGAGACTGGCTCTACTGGCTGAGCCACCGCAGTGAGGACGGTGGGTGTTCGGGGATCCTTGGGGTTTAGCCGGGAAGCGGAAAAATCCTTGAAATTTAGCTTCCCTTGGCGGCGATCCGACACCCTTCACTTCAGCTCACGAACCACGGCACTTTTCGGGGAAACGACGTCACTTCCACGCGACGGTGCTGGGAATTATCCCTCCAGCGGACACACGCCACGAAAACGGCACTCCAACTTCTCGTTTTCACTTCAAACGGACGGGGCAAAAAACGCGTCGATTTCCTACCGTGGCTCGTAACTTTCTTTTCCGCTGTACTAGCTGATAATCACGGACAATACAACAACCGCCATCGTTCTCCAGCAACCGCGCTCGAATGTTGTGCTGCTTATGTTTTTCGCCTTATTTTGCAGCGGGAGGAGAAACGGGACCTAACTTTATTCTACACGCGAGACAATTTTAAACGATAATTTTTACACTATATTCTAATCTTAAAAACATGCCTACACGAATAAAATCTACGATGAAAATAACAAATTAAAATATTTACAAATAAAGCAGTGGTTAGTATGTTGCCGAGCGTGCGACCAAAACAAAAACAAATCATAACAGACAAGGCACACGCTCATGGCAAACACTTTAAAAGGGTGGGTTATTAATTGTCACCCTAGACGAGGGTTACATTTCTTAGGCTCATATTGTAGAATCATAATGTGGCTTCCAAACGTACATGATTTAGAATTTCTCTGATTTTTAAAATTGGGAGGAGCCATGCTTTTTAAGGTGTCCTTATACTAATTTACACTAGTGTATCGTGAACCTGTTCTCGAAAACGGGAACATGGTTCATGGACTGTAAAACGACAGCATTAAAATAATTGTCAATATTTTGATGTACAGCATGGAAATGGAAGGAAACTGAAAACGACGGTAGACTAGGCTGGAACAACCGAACAATGTATCTGTCCAGCATATGAAGTGGACTACACTTTCAGCTCAGCAATTCAATGGATATTCGGTCACCATGAACGCAGCGCAACCATCACCTTCATCATCATCATAACTAAAGAGGCGGAATTTATGAAGAGGCGAAATGTCAAAATTTGAACAAGCCATGTCAAAGTCATAGGAAAAGTTAGGGTAAACGCTCCTATAGTTGCGGTATGTTAGAAGCGTTAGGTTCCTATAGTTGTGTATGGAGACTCTGTACACAACTATAGGAACCTAACGCTTCTAACGTATTGCAACTATAGGAGCGTTTCCCCTATTCCAATCGAGCAGAAGACCTGTCAAATGGATAAGATGTCGCCTCTTTACCCAATTCAGTCTCATTGATCACAACAAGCAACAAGTACTGATCACATCCCCACCGATCCTAGCCGCATCGGTGCTTGCTCACCTTCCCTCCCATGCTATGGATCCGAACTAGTGGAAATACCACCACCTCTGGGGCAACATTCAAAAAGTTTTCTCCACAACTGGTGCCGCTTTGACGCTGAACAGGTGGGAACGAAGTTCACGGATTTGAGTTTAAATTCATGAACATTTGATTTACTCGATCACGTTTATGGAGACTAAGGCATAAATTCGAAAGAACTATTAGGTCAGCTTATCGTGATGTTTTGCGTTCAGACTGATAAAAGTTATTTTTATGAATTTAAGATGTCCCAAAGACAGCTCTCAAAGGATCAAAATGACTGACAATGTCAGCTTCAGCCACCGGTTTAGACAAGCGCAAACATCAAATAATGTCACCCACTTTCATGTTTCATGTTGTAGAAACAAGTGTAAGATAATGCAATTCAAATTCGTTATTCACCATACTTGAAGCATTCCAAACAGTAAACTTTAACCAGCATCCTGAACAGCGCTCTCAAGTGTTAGTTACAACATCCTCCAAACTTCAAAGTCAAGGTTCGATTAGCCACAGCATTGATCAAACATTTTTTTTTACTGCGATTTAAAAACCAGTAATTACAGTATTGAACATATCTCTTCGCTTAAGACCACGTTTGCACATCCCGACTCATTGTAAACAAAATTTAGACACATCATTGAATACTTGAGCGTCACGGTGGGGAGCAATTTGACCTGCACCTCCACGGTATAGTATGGTCAAGTGCTGGACGGGCGACCCTGACGCCCCAAAGTGAACAGACAGCGCATGGCCTCTCAACGGCACGCAGTTCGTTTTAATTTTGTTGAAATTCGGCAAGTTGTGTACCGCAAGCCCGCGGTTGATTTTAAGAGCGCATCTCAATAGACACCTTTTTCGCCATGTAACGATTGGTTGATTGGTTGATTGAAGATAATTATCAATCCACTGTAGCCAGCGTTGTTTTTTTTTTACTTCGTGTACTCACTTGCATACACAGCCTGCAAGCTGCAGGCTCTAATAAATGGAACACGCGTGTGAGCGGTTCGGTGAGATAAGTAAATTTTGCCTAAATTATCTAGCATTACACTGCAGACCCCTCGGACGCGTCTCCTATTAAATCTGCTCCCATGTTAAATCGATTATAATTCTCTCGCACTCTTCTTCCCCTCGATAAAAATCGCTCTCTTGCTCGCCGTATCGCACGTAAATCTCACGCAGCAGACGCTGAGAGCCTATCAAAGCCATATTCTTCCATACACATGCAATCAGTGATGCCACTCATACGGATTAATCTCAATGGTACAGATATTTTGAAAATCTTCGATACACAAATCTCTAAATACATTATACAGATGTTTGAAACACTTTTTACATTTATACAGATTAAATCAAATTTTGACCGATTTTCGAGCATTTACAGATGAAAACGATGTTTGAAACACAAAATACAGATGAAGACGTGAAAAAGAAGGTGGCATCACTGCATAAAATATGTCTCTAGCATGCTTCCTTCTTGCGCGAACCCAACGTGTATGTAACCAGCAAACAGCAGCGAGAGTCAGCCAACCCCCTTTTTCCGCCAGAATAGTCTGCCGTTCGGTTCAGTCAGTCACTTCTAGGGTTCCCGTTCGGTTCGGATTGACACCGGTCGTCGGCGTCAAAGTAGTGTTGAAAGCAAAAGTGAATGCTATCCCCTGTCCCAAGGGGTGGAAACAGCAGTTTGTAAAGTGACACGCTTACTCAGACGCAGCATAAACATTGTAATGTACTTAAGAAAACGACGCGCTCCTAATTAACTAATTAAAACTATTGCGTCGGCTGCTGGATAATCGTAATCCATCTAATTAACCAACTTGAACCGAGACTGGCGAAGATCTATCTGGCTGTAAAAGTTCAATCTTACGCTCGAAAACCACATTTCCATTTTGGCAAAAAGGGAAAAGAAAATCCAAGGAGGAAAAATCAATACCCGTATCCGTACGATAGCGTGAGAGAGAGAGAGAGTACACTTGTCAAGCACCATGAGCCATCAGCCAGAGAAGGACTCGGTCAAGCTGGATCCGAAAACCGTCGGGAAGAAGATTGTTAGCGCCATTCCAAAAAAGCGGTAAGTTAAAAGTACTATTAAAATCCTTTCGCAGAGGGCAAACTTTGCCGAACGGTTCTTTCCATGGTTGCGTGACACGGATCGGTTGGTTACACGCACGTCAGTGAAAATTAAGGTTGGGTGGGGAGGAAGTGAAGCCAAGAAGGTGCTGCTAGCGAAAAATGCACCACCATTGATCCGGGAGAGTGAGAGAGCCGTGTTCCGGAAAATGCCCGAGCGAGAGAGTGCTCGCACATGGTGCTGGAGTTTCGGTTTTCTTTTTCTCGTTTCGCGTTTTGTGAGTAAAAGGGAAAAGTGGCATTTCCGCGTGGCCCGGGTGTGTTGTTTACATGTTTTCGGTTTCTTTTTCCCTGTTTTTGGCCGGTACGCACTCCCGCCGGTGAGTACCCGAGTAAAGTCGGTTAACGAAATGAAGGAACATCGATATTAAATTTGGCCATAAATTATTTTGATTCAACTAATCATATCAATGTCAATGTCATAGTCAATGAGATCAACTCAAATTTGAGTTCAGTTTTGTCATAAATTGCAAAAATTGCAGGAACTCAGCGATGAGTAAATTTGCCTCATGTTTTTCCAGGTTTTCCAGGAAAAACATCCCGAATATGAGAAGAGTAAAGATTGGATTCTCTCAGTCTATTGGTACTACTCCTAGACTGAGTAAAAATTTCAATTTTTCTCATTTTCCGGCAGATTTTTTTGGTTTTCCACAGGAAAACATAAGGCGAATTTAATCATCGCTGAGCTCCTGCACTTTTTGCGATTATGAGTAAACTTAACTCAAATTTGGGTTGGTCTCATCGAACGTGCAGCGATTTCAAGAAAATGTAGCGAAAAGACCCTATATTCACGAGGTTCTAGATTTTTTTTCACAATAATGTTCCATTACAAAGGTCGAGTGGTATGTAACGTCAAAATGATGTCACCTGTACTCAAAAAAGCCCACAGGTCTGATCGAAGTGCTTAGACACTTGATTTTTTTTAAATGAGGAATCATATTTATTTTAAGTGTATTTCACCTTGGTTCAATGTGTTGTACACGTTGATTACTAGTGTTTCAAACTTTAAAATGTTGAAAATATTTCATTATCAGTTCAAGTGAATTCCACATTGGATCTCCCTACTATTCAAAGCAGATGGATTTGAAGTGTTTTGCATTTCAATGCGATGTGAATTGCTTGTTCTGCAAGGTAAACCGAGAGGTAAACATTGAAAACAAGAGTTGTGACTTCATCATTATCAACCAGCCTCAGATATGAGAACCAGTGCTGATAAAAATCATTTCTACTACACTCAATTTAGCTGAAAATGAAAAAATCTTAGCAGATAGACCACATGAATCTGAATTTTGACATAAGATCAAGGTAACCTCTGAGCATCGAAGCAAACATTCGTTTTTCTTTATTCTTGGCTGGATGTTCATTATCGCCTCTGTTCTTGTCAATATTAATATTCGTCTTCATCTTGGTGAGGATGATTTTGCGGATCAAATGCAAAATGATTATTTTCATTTTACACAAATATAGCGCTGAAGCACGTGTCCTGTTGGTTTTTACAAACAGATCGATGGCAAATTATTGCCTCGTGCTGAATTGATGATAATATCGAGGTTTTAGCCCAGACAATATTCAAAATAATCATTTTGCCCAAACAGAATCTGATTATTTTGCTTTTGAGGATCGTTTCTGATTTTGACAATTTTGGTTTGGATAATCAAGCACTGGTGAATATCAACAAACGTGCATTCGTTGATGTATAATGAACTCATTTGTTCATTTCGCTCGTACGTAACAGCGAAGATTTTCAAAACAAACGCAATTCATCTACACTGAGTTGAAACGCTACTCTTTGCGTGTGATGGTAAATGATAAAAACAGACACTGATTGAGAACAACCGTGGCCCAGTGAACGGTAGAATGAAGAAAACGGCAGTTCAGAATCGAATCCTAAATTAGAGCCATGTGTTCAAGACATGTTGTAAACCTGAGTACTGCGGACTCACTCAAGGTGCTTGTCACTTGGGAGCCAGTGTGAACTGTCAAGCGGGAGCCAAACATTCAGAAGCAGCAAATGCAGTTACTGGTCTTATCTACCGTCAAGTACTGTAATCTCATAAAAATGATCTATACTTTTTCATAACACATTCTTAATTTTAAGCTCAAAGATAAAAACCAACAGGCTCAGCATAGTTTTTATGAGGCAGCTGAGTTTACAATAAAACATAGTTTGGCGAAACATGTATGTGAAAAAACTTTGATAGAGTCATGGGGGCCCGAGCCCTCCTGGCTCAGAGCTTTTGGCGGGATCAACTGAGAAAGAGCAAACCAGTTTTAAACTTAAGAAAATTTTCAAGCAGTTTTCCATTGACTTGTAAAATGAAATTGGTCGACTCTGCAGTACCCAGTTGTAAACAACAGGCAACAGTCAAGACCAGCAATTGAAATGGCCTTAACTCCATTGTGTAAACAAACCTTGTATGGCCATTTTCTCGCGAACCGAAACCTTCATTCGCAAACCTAAACCACAAGCGGGTAGAGGAGAATTTTACCTACCTGTTCGTTATGTTGGTTTGCCTTTGCGGACTTCGGTTCGCGAGAAAATGGCCTTACAACAAGGTTTGTTTACAAAATGGAGTTAAGGCCATTTCAATTGTTGGTCTTGCATTGTTTATATATTTCAAGCTAAGTAATGCATTAAGTCATAAGTAACACATTCATCGATTCTCTTCATCGACTTTCTCTTTCGTTGATAACTTGGGTACTGAACCGTTTCATGTCGTATTTCTATACAGATCTGGAAAAAGGGCCTATCAGCTTTGATCGATTCTCTTCAACGACTTCAAGACCAACAATTGAGATGGCCTTAACTCCATTTTGTAAACAAACCTTGTAAGGCCGTTTTCTCGCGAACCGAAGTCGCAAAGGCAAACCAACATAATCAACAGGTAGGGAACATTCTCCTCTACCCGATTGTGGTTTAGGTTTGCGAATGAAGGTTTCGGTTCGCGAGAAAATGGCCTTATAAGGTTTGTTAACAAAATGGACTTTCTCTTTTGATAACCACGGCTATGCAAACAGTTTTCGTGCTATTTTACCACATATCATGATAAAGGAGGTTTTTTATCTATCGTCCAAATCGTCAAATACAACAAGGGATGTTGTTGCAGCTGAGTTATTAACGAAAGAGAATGTCGATGAAGAGAATCGATCAAAGCAGATATGCCCTTTTCCAGCTCTGTACAGAATTGTCGTATTAGCACAGCGGTGCCCAACGTGCGGTCCGCGGGCCGGACGTGGTCTTTGGATCTCAGTAAAGGGCGAACACGAAATTATTGCGACACCGAAAATGTCATGCCAATTTTCTTATAATGTTTAGAATCAAACCAAAATTTTAGGGTAGTTTTATACATATATTTACTTCAAAAATCAACAGAAAAGTTAATCGATGGAGCCTTGAGTGTAAAATTGAACGCATTTTCGCTTGATGCCCTCCTTAAAAGTCTTTACAGTGTCATCCGGTACCAGTTTCTCAGTTTTTTTTTTCCATTTTCTTAACATGTCCTTCTCGTCTTTGACTGTCTTCTTGCTCTTCCGAAGTTCCCGCTTCATTATTGCCCAGTACTGCTCCACCGGGCGCAGCTCCGGACAGTTTGGCGGATTCATGTCCTTTGGAACAAAATTGACAGAATTGGCCTCATACCACTCCAGGACACTTTTAGAATAGTGGCATGATGCCAAATCTGGCCAAAATAGCGGAGGTTCGTCGTGCTGCTGCAAGAACGGCAAAAGGCGCTTCTCGAGGCACTCAGATTTGTAGATCTCGCTATTTACTGTGCCCTTTGCCACGAAAGGCTCACTCCTCAGTCCGCAAGAGCAGATGGCCTGCCAAATGAGATATTTGGAGGCGAACTTCGACATTTTCTTCTTCTTAAATTTGTCGTCCACATCGAACTTGCTCTTGCCGGTGAAAAACTCCAACCCCGGAATTTGCTTAAAATCGGTTTTTATATACGTTTCGTCGTACATCACACAGCAGCCATATTTTGTCAGCATCTTCTCGTAGAGCTTCCGTGCCCGAGTTTTAGCCGTCGATTGTTGCCGCTCCTCGCGGTTTGGGAAGTTCTGTACCTTGTATGTATGTAGTCCAGCTCTCTTCTTTGCATTCTGGACGTAGCTCTGCGACATGCCGATCTTTTTAGCCAAATCACGGCTTGAGACGTTGGGATTTGCTTTAATCATCCGCTTCACCTTTCCCTCCGTCTTTTTGTTCTCCGGTCCCGGTTTTCTTCCAGCTCCTTTGCCGTGGTCCAACGTCAACCGCTCCTGGAACCGCTTCAACACTTTGGAGACGGTTGAATGGTGAATGTTCAACATTTTTCCCAACTGCCGGAGCGACAGGTCAGGAAATTCCAGGTGTTTGGAAAGAATTTGTTCTCTCAACTCGCGTTGGTTCACCTCCATTTTCGTTGAATCGAAAAACACGACTTCGAGTTTGACAGCATGTACACAATACACATCAATGAGAAAGTGTGCAAAATTTGGTTGATTTTTACCCAATGGTAAAAAAGTTATGCCCTGTTGAATGTGTCGCAATAATTTCGTGTTCGCCCTTTAATGGCATCATTCTAGTCCAATTGTATTCATCATTATGAATTTCAGCCCAGCATGAATGAGAAAGAAACAAAATACAGCTTGAAACTTATTCATAGAAAATAGATTCAGCCATTTAAAAAAGCAAGTTTTGAAAGGTTGGACAGGCCTGTATAAGAAGATAGATGATAACTGCTTACATCGATCTGTGTGCTGAAAATAGCTCAGAATGTCTTGACATGGCCCTGAGCATGTAAGAATAAAGTCTACGAAGAGAATCTGTTAATGTTACTTAGGACCTAATTCAGCTTGATTTGTCAAATCATTTTTAGATTCGGTAAAGCAGAAGTCGATAAAGTAGAATATTGTGGAACATTGAACCACAGACAAACAGTCATAATTCTTCGAAGA